AAAATCCCAATTTAATCCAAATTAAATTCAAATAAATTCAAATTAAATTCAAATAAATTCAAATTAAATTCAAATTAACTCGTATTAAACCCCCCAACCCCCCCCCCAGGACCCAATAAATCCCAATTTAATTCAAATTAAATTCAAATTAATTCAAATTAAACCCCCCCAAACCCCCCCAGGACCCAATAAATCCCAATTTAATCCGAATTAAATCAAATTAAACCCAATTTTCCCCCAATTTTACCTGTCCCTGGCGCAGGTGGTAGGAGAGCAGCCGGACGTGGACGGGCCCCGGCCCGGTGTGAGCCGCGGGGGGGGCGATGGTGACGCTCTGAGAGGGCTCCAGAACCGAGGGGAGCTCCAGGGGCTCGGGGGGCACGGCCAGGGCCCGGCACACCCCAACCTGCACCGCCGTCAGGCTGGCCACGGACTGGGGGAGAGGGAAATAAAGTCAGGGGACACAAAAAAATTCAAAAATAGGAAAAAATCCCAAAAAAACCCGAAAAAAACCCAAAAAAACCGGAAAAAAATGGCCAAAATAGACCCCAAACCCGAAAAAAATGACTAAAATAGACTCCAAAACCCCCCAAAATAGACTCAAAAACCCCCAAAATAGACTAAAAAAAACCAAAAATAGACTCAAAACCCCCCAAAATTGACTCAAACCCCCCCCAAACAGCCCCAAAAAAACCCCACAAAACACCCCAAAAAACCCTGATCGGGAACCCCCCAAAAAAAGATCAAAATAGCCCCAAAAACGCCTTCCCCTCCCCCCCCAACCTGCACCGCTGTCAGGCTGGCCACCGACTGCGGGGGGGCAAAAAAAAGGGTCAGGGGACACCAAAAAAATTCAAAAATAGGAAAAAAATCCCAAAAAATCCCGAAAAAACCCAAAAAAACCCCCAAAAAATGACCAAAATAGACCCCAAATCCGAAAAAAAGGACCAAAATAGACCCAAAACACCCCAAAATAGACTCAAAAACCCCCAAAATAGACTCAACCCCCCCCCCCAAAATGACTAAAATAGACCCCAAACCTGAAAAAAAGGACGAAAAAAGACCCCAAACCTGAAAAAAAAGGACGAAAAAAGACCCCAAACCCCAAAAAAATGACCAAAATAGACCCAAAAGCCCTCAAAATAGACTCAAAAACCCAAAAAAAAAGGACCAAAATAGACCAAAAAGCCCCCAAAATAGACCCAAAACCCCCCAAAAAAGGACCAAAATAGACCCCAAAACCCGAAAAAATGACCAAAAGCCCTCAAAATAGACTTAAAACCCCTCAAATAGACTCAAAAACCCCCAAAATAGCCCCAAAAACGCCTTCCCCTCCCCCCCCACCTGCACCGCTGTCAGGCTGGCCACGGACTGGAGAGGGGAAAAAATGGGTCAGGAGACACAAAAAATACAAATATAGCAAAAAATTAAAAAAAACCTGAAAAAAACAAAAAAAAAAAAAACGAAAAAATGACCAAAATAGACCCCAAATCCGAAAAAAAGGACCAAAATAGACCCAAAACCCAAAAAAAATGACCAAAATAGACCCAAAACCCCCTAAAAAATTACCAAAATAGACCCCAAAACACCCCAAAATAGACTCAAAACCCCCCAAAATAGATTCAAAAACCCCCAAATAGACTCAAAAACCCCAAAATAGACTTAAACACCCCCAAAATAGACTCAAAACCCCCCAAAATAGACCCCAAACCCGAAAAAAAGGACCAAAATAGACCCCAAAACCCGAAAAAAATGACTAAAATAGACCCCAAAACCCCCCAAAATAGACTCAAAAACCCCCAAATAGACTCAAAAACCCCCAAAATATACCCAAACCCCCCAAAAAATGACCAAAATATACCCCAAAACCAGAAAAAAAGGACTAAAATAGACCCCAAAACCTGAAAAAAATGACCAAAATAGACCCCAAAACCCGAAAACAAGGACCAAAATAGCCCCAAAAATGCCTTCCCCTCCTCCCCCACCTGCACCGCAGTCAGGCTGGCCACCGACTGGAGAGGGGAAAAAAAAGGGTCAGGGGACACAAAAAAATACAAATATAGCAAAAAATCCCAAAAAAACCCGAAAAAAACCCAAAAAAACCCGAAAAAAATGACCAAAATAGACCCCAAATCCGAAAAAAATTGACTAAAATGGACCCCAACCCCCCCAAAAAAGACCAAAATGGACCCAAAACCCTGAAAAAAATGACCAAAATAGACCCAAAACCCTAAAAAAATAGACCCCAAAACCTCAAAAAAATGACCAAAATAGACCCCAAAACCCCCCAAAAGTGACCAAAATAGACCCCAAAACCTGAAAAAAATGACCAAAATAAACCCAAAACCCGAAAAAATTGACTAAAATAGACCCCAAAACCTCAAAAAAATGACCAAAGTAGACCTCAAAACCCAAAACCAAGGACCAAAATAGCCCCAAAAACGCCTTCCCCTCCCCCCCCACCTGCACCGCTGTCAGGCTGGCCACGGACTAGGGGGGGGGGAAAAATGGGTCAGGGGACACCAAAAATTCAAAAATCCCCATCAAAAAACTCCAAACTGCAAAAAATCCCGAAAAAAAACCCAAAAAATGACGAAAATAGACCCAAAACCCGAAAAAAATGACCAAAATAGACCCCAAATCCCTCAAAATAGACTCAAAACCCCCCAAAATAGACTCAAAACCCCCCCAAAATAGACCCAAAACCCGAAAAAAATGACCAAAATAGACCCCAAAACGTGAAAAAAAATGACGAAAATAACCCCAAAACCCGAAAAAAGGACTAAAATAGACCCCAAAACCCCCCTAAATAGACCCCAAACCCGAAAAAAATGACCAAAATAGACCCCAAACCTGAAAAAATTGACTAAAATAGACCCCAAAACCCGAAAAAAAGGACTAAAATAGACCCAAACCCCCCAAAAATTGACTAAAATAGACCCAAACCCCCCAAAAAATGACCAAAATAGACCCAAAACCCCAAAAAATAGACCCCAAAACCTCAAAAAAATGACCAAAATAGACCCCAAAACCCGAAAAAAATGACCAAAATAGACCTCAACCCCCCCCAAAAAAAGACCAAAATAGACCCAAAAACCCCCCAAAATAGATTCAAAAACCCACAAAATATACCCAAACCCCCAAAAAAATGACCAAAATATACCCCAAAACGCGAAAAAAATGACTAAAATAGACCCAACCCCCCAAAAAATTGACTAAAATAGACCCCAAAACCCAAAAATTTTGACTAAAATAGACCCCAAAACCCTAAAAAAATAGACCCCAAAACCTCAAAAAAATGACTAAAATAGACCCCAAAACCCCCAAAAAATGACTAAAATAGACCCCAAAACCCGAAAAAAATGACCAAAATGGACCCAAAACCCCCCAAAAATGACTAAAATAGACCCCAAAACCCCAAAAAATTGACTAAAATAGACCCAAAACCCCCAAAAAATGACCAAAATAGAACCCAAACCCCCCAAAAAATGACTAAAATAGACCCAAAAACCTGAAAAAAAATGACCAAAATAGACCCAAAACCCGAAAAAAAGGACCAAAATAGACCAAAAAGCCCTCAAAATAGACTCAAAATCCCCCAAAATAGACCCCAAAACCCAAAAAAAGGACCAAAATAGACCCCAAAACGTGAAAAAAATGACTAAAATAAACCCAAACCCCCTCAAAATAGACTCAAAAACCCGAAAAAAATTACTAAAATAGACCCCAACCCCCCAAAAAATGACTAAAATAGACCCCAAAACCCGAAAAAAAGGACTAAAACAGACCCCAACACGTGAAAAAATGACCAAAATAGACCCCAAACACCCCAAAAAATGACTAAAATAGACCCCAAAACCCGAAAAAAATGACTAAAATAGACCCCAAAACCTGAAAAAAATGACTAAAATAAACCCAAAACCCCCCAAAAATTGACTAAAATAGACCCCAAAAACCTGAAAAAAATGACCAAAATAGACCCCAAAACCCCCAAAAAATGACCAAAATAGACCCCAAAACCTCAAAAAAATGACTAAAATAGACCCCAAAACACCCCAAAATAGACTCAAAAACGCCCAAAAAAATGACCAAAATAGACCCCAAAACCCCCCAAAAAATGACCAAAATAGACCCCAAAACCCAAAAAAATTGACTAAAATAGACCCAAAACCCGAAAACAAGGACCAAAATAAACCCAAAAGCCCTCAAAATAGACTCAAAAGCTGAAAAAAATGACTAAAACAGACCCCAAAACCTGAAAAAAAAGGACCAAAATAGACCCCAAACCCCTCAAAATAACCTCAAAACCCCCAAAATAGACTCAAAAACCCCCAAAAAATGACCAAAATAGACCCAAACCCCTCAAAATAACCTCAAAACCCCCAAAATAGACCCCAAAACCCGAAAAAAATGACTAAAATAGACCCCAAACCCCCTCAAAATAGACTCGAAAACCCCCAAAATGACTAAAATAGACCCCAAAACCTGAAAAAAATGACCAAAATAGACCCCAAACCCCTCAAAATAGACTCAAAACCCCCCAAAATAGACTTAAACCCCCCAAAAACTGACACAAAGCACCCCCCAAAAACAGCCTGAAAACCCCCCAAAATGACCCCAAAAAAACTCCAGAAAACACCCCAAGAAAAACCTGATCAGGGACCCCAAAAACCCCCCTCAAAAACAAAACAAAACACTAAAAAAACCCCGACAAAAATGACCGAAATAGACCCCAAACCCCTCAAAATAACCTCAAAACCCCCCAAAAATAGACTCAAAACACCCCCAAAACGACCCCCAAAAACAAAACACCCCCCCCCAAAAAAAATAAACCCTGATCAGGGACCCCAAAATCCCCAATAAAAAAACAACAAAAAAAAACCAAAAAAAAAAAGGACCAAAATAGACCCCAAACCCCTCAAAACGACCCCAAAAAACTCCAGAAAACACCCCAAAAAAACCCCTCATTTTTGGGGGGTCTCCAGAGGGGTCCCGAGGGTCTCACCGCCAGCAGCTCGGTCTGGGTGAGGGTCCAGAAGCTGGGGTGGATTTGGGGGGTCCTGGATGGATTTTTTGGGGTCCTGGAATGGGTTTTAGGGAGTCCTGGAGTGGGTTTGGGGTCCTGGGTGGAGTTTTGGGGGTCCTGGGTGGGTTTTTGGGGGTCCTGGGTGGGTTTTTTGGGGGTCCTGGGTGGGTTTTTGGGGTCCTGGGTGGCTCAGGGAGCTCAGGGCTGGTTTGGGGTGGTTTGGGGTGGTTTTTGGGGGGTCCCAGGGGGTCTCACCGCCAGCAGCTCGGTCTGGGTGAGGTTCAGAGCCTGGGGTGGGTTTGGGGGTCCTGGGTGGAGTTTTGGGGGGTCAGAGTGGGTTTTGGGGGATCCCAGGTGGTTTTGGGGGGTCCTGGGTGGGTTTGGGGGAGTCCTAGGTGGGATTTTGGGGTCCTGGAGTGATTTTGGGGGGTCCTGGATGGGTTTTTGGTGTCCCAGGAAGCTCAGGGGAGCTCTAGGGGCTCGGGGTTGATTTGGGGTGGTTTTTGGGGGGTCCCAGGGGGTCTCACCGCCAGCAGCTCGGTCTCGGTGAGGTTCCAGAAGCTGGGGTGGATTTGGGGGTCCCGGGTGGGTTTTTGGGGTCCTGGGTGGCTCAGGGAGCTCTGGGGAGCTCAGGGGTGATTTGGGGTGATTTTTGGGGGGTCCCAGGGGGTCTCACCGCCAGCAGCTCGGTCTCGGTGAGGTTCCAGAAGCTCTTCCAGAAGTGCACGTCGAGGTTCTGCGTCAGCCGCTCGAACTCGGCCCCGCGCAGCTCGGGGTCCAGGGGCGAACTTCCCGCTGGTGAAGAGCGACCCCGCCGCCACCCCTGACACCCCTGACGTCATTCGGGACCCCCAAAACCCCCCCAAAATCCCCCAAAATACCCCCGAGTCCAGGGACCCCCTAAAACCCCCCAAAACTCCCAAAGCCCCACCAGGACCCCAGGCTCGGGGTCAGGCGAACTTCCCACTGGTGAACAGCGACCCCACCCCACCCTGACACCCCTGACGTCATTCAGGACCCCAAAACCCCCAGGACCCCCAAAATCCCCCGAGTCCAGGGACCCCAGGGACCCCCAAAACCCCCAAGCCCCCTCCCAGGCTCGGGGTCCAGAGCGAATTTCCCGCTGGTGAACAGCGACCCCGCCGCCACCCCTGACACCCCTGACGTCATTCGGGACCCCCAAAACCCCCAGAGTCCAGGGACCCCAAAACCCCCCAAAATATCCCCAGGCCAGGGACCCCCAAAACCCCAGGGACCCCCAAAAACCCTAAAACCCCCAGAGTCACCCCAAGCCCAGGGACCCCAGGGACCCCAAAACGCCCCAGAGTAACCCTGAGCCCAGGGACCCCCAGGGACCCCCAAAACACCCCAGAGTCACCCCAGGCCCAGGGACCCCAGGGACCCCCAAAACACCCCCAGAGTGACCCTGAGCCATGGACCCCCAAGGAACCCATTCAGGACCTCCCAGGGACCCCAGGGACCCCCAAAACCCCCAGGATCCCCCAAACCCACTCAGAGTCAACCAGAACCCCAAAGACCACCCAGGACCTCCAAAACCCACCCAGGGACTCCCAAAAGCCCAGTCAGGACCTCCAGGGACCCCCAAAACCCACTCAGGGACCCCAAAACCCACCCAGAACCTCCAGGGACCCCAAAGACCCCCAAACCCCAGGGACCCCAAAACCCACCCAGGACCCCAAGGACCCCAGAGACCCCCAAGGACCCCAAAACCACCCAGAACCTCCAGGGACCCCAAAACTCACCCAGGACCTCCAGGGACCCCAAAGACCCCTAAACCCCAGGGACCCCAAAACTCACCCAGGACCTCCCAGGGACCCCAAACCCACCCAGGACCTCCAAGGACCCCCAGGACCCCCCAGGGACCTCCAGGGACCCCCAGGGACCTTCAAGATCCTCTAAAGACCCCCCAGGGGACCCCAAAACCCACCCAGGGACCCCCAAGGACCTCCCAGAGACCCCCAAGGACCCCCCAAACCCACCAAATCCTAGGGACCTCTAAAACCCACCCAGAACCTCCAGGGATCCCCAAAACCCACCCAGGGACCCCCAGGGACCCCAAAAACACACCCAGAACCTCCAGAGACCCCCAGGGACCCCCAAGGACCCCAAAAACCCACCCAGGACCCCCAAGGACCCCCAAGGACTCCCCAGGGACCCCCAAAGACCCCCAAGGACCCCCCAAACCCACCGAAGCCGAGGTCCCCGCTCCGATAGTTCTCCCCGAAGGACACGAGGCCGATGGCGAGGGTCTGCAGGAACGGCTGCAGCGACGGCACGAACTGGGGGGCAGGGGGGGCACCCAGGGGTCACCAGGGGGCACCAGGGGTCATCAGGGGTCATCAGGGGTCAACAGGAGTCATCAGGGGTCAACTGGGGTCAACAGGGGTCATCAGGGGTCAATGGGAATCATCAGAGGTCAACAGGGGTCATCAGGGGTCAACAGGGGTCAATGGGAGTCATCAGGGGTCAATGGGAGTCATCAGAGGTCAACGGGGTCAATGGGGGTCATCAGGGGTCAATGGGGGTCAACAGAGGTCAGTGGGGTCAATGGGAGTCACCAGGGGTCAATGGGAGTCATCGGGGTCAATGGGGGTCATCGGGGGTCAACAGGGGTCATCAGGGGTCAAGGGGAGTCATCAGGGGTCAACAGGGGTCAATGGGAGTCATCAGAGGTCACCAGGGGTCAATGGGAGTCATCAGGAGTCAACAGGGGTCAACAGGGGTCAGTGGAAGTCATCAAAGGTCAATGGGGTCAATGGGAGTCATCAGGGGTCACCAGGGGTCAATGGGAATCATCAGAGGTCAACAGGGGTCATCAGGGGTCAACAGGGGTCAATGGGAGTCATCAGGGTCAACTGGGGTCATCCAGGGGTCAAGACCGATGGTCAAACCAAGGCCAACCCAACTGATGGTCAATGAAGTCAAGAGGAACCCAATGGTCACCAGGGGTCATCAGGGGTCAACAGGGGTCACCAGGGGTCAACCAGGGGTCAAGACCGATGATCAACCCAAGACCAACCCAAAATGTCCCCAATTTTCCCCAAATCTCACCTGGAACCTCAAAAACATCCGTTGACCATCGGTTGGGTCATCCCC